ATTAAATCATAAATCACATATAATGTTTCAGGACAATTAATTATTTCTAAGGCCCTTCTAGTTAATGTTCTCCATTCTGTGATGTATTGCAAATCCTAGTCTCTATGTTGATGATTGTGGCTCCGTTTCAATGTGAACTGCTAAGGAGTAAGGATTAAGGTGGAGCTACAAGGTCAGCAGTCCAGGCTCACCAGCTGCTCCTTGGAAACCCTATACAGGGTCACTATGGGTCGGAACCGACTCGACGGCACTTAGCAACAACAACAACAAAGTAAAAGGGGAGTCCTGGTGCGGCACTGTGGGCTAATGAGCCAGACTGCAAATTCATTTGAACTGGAAGATTGGCAGTTCAAACTCACCAGCTGCTCCTTGGAAACCCTATACAGGGTCACTATGGGTCGGAACCGACTCGATGGCACTTAACAACAACAACAAAAGTAAAAGGATCCTTGCTGTGGTGCTACAGGACAATCACAGGACTGCTAACTGCAAGATCAGTAGTTCAAACCCACCAGGCGGTCTTTAGAAATCCTATACAGAATCACTGTGAGTTGGAACCGACTCAAGCGCACTTTATAATGACATCAACAACAACAAGTAAGGATTATATTAGAACTAAGGATTAAAGATGCTCCCACCTTAGTAGAGGGTGTGATTCAAGTCACCACCCTTAGTTTCCCTTGGGGATATGGTCTGTCTCCAATTCACAGGATGACTTTGGAACAGCTGGCTCTCTTGCCCTGGATCTTGCATCTGGTTCATTACATCTGAGCTCCAGTTCCTGGAACTTTCAGGCCATCACCTGACCTGATTCACCAGCTCCTATAGCCTAGTGCATCAAGAGCATCAACAGCCTCTTGTCTGACCTGTGGGTTTGGGGTTCCTCAGCTCTTGAGACTATGTGTGTGAGAATATTTCTCCAAACGAATCTCTGAACTACGTATTTGGGACTTACCAGGCTCCACAATTGGATGAGCCATTTCCTTTGACAATTATGAGTTTTGTGAGGCATTGAAATGTGTTGCAGAACCCTGGGACTCGAGGGAGGGGAGGAGTAGTGATTAATAACAAAAATTATGAAGAGGGATAACATGTTGGAAAAGTCAGTCAGTTGGGATAACTTGAACCTCCATCTCACAGAGACAAGCCTCATGCTGATCTTTTTAAAAGAAATTATTCATGCAAATGCTAACAATAAGAGCACATTTATTATTTTATTGTTTACATTTTAGATGTGAAATCCAGCAAATTGTTTGACTTCTTTTTTTGATTTAACCACTCTTGAGTCAGAATGGACTTGATGGCAAATTTCCCATTTTTTCTTCCCATGAGCAAAACAGAATATTCCATGTTTTTACCTATATAGTTTCTACAGTAACAAATTCTTGAATCCGAAAAGCCTAGCAGGACAAAACTAGATTCATTTTCTTCACCATTAAAGTTCATTAAGTTTGTAAGATTAAAGCACATAATCATAAAAGACATAATTTAAGCAAGAAAACTACTGAGGGGTCAGTGAGTACTGTATTTTTCACAAATACTGTGCCCATGGAAATAACACTCCCCCACATATATAACACATGGCATAGTACATGTCTGAAAACATCAGGTTGGTTTCTGTAACTGGCAAAAACTTACAACACATGCTTTATTTGTATGGTAGATTTCCCAAATGGTCTAATTTGGGATGATATCCATACTGGAAAATGACAGCTATCACGGAGTCCTGGTTTGGTGCTATAGGATAAGCACTAGACCATAGTTTGAAATGCAAGGTCAGCAGCTCTAATATATCAGCCACTCCCCTCAGAAGCCCTCTGTAGGATTGCTACGAGTCAGGATTGACTTGATGGCACCAAATAACAACAAATGATTCAGAAATCTGATCAAAGTTCTGTTTGATTCATGATTATCTTCATGATTATCTTCATGATTATCTTAAATGATTAAATACTATTTTTCCCAACCTAAAAGAAGCTGTCCTTAACACTTCACCAAATGCCACTATGATTCACTAAAGACACATGAACATAATGTCATAGTCTTTAGGAAATCATAGTTTATGAACAGATGGAATCTTTGGGTGGTACAAACAGTGAATGCATTTGACTGTTAATTGAAAGGTTGCAGGTACAAATCTAATCAGATATACTTTAGAAGAAACATCTGTCAATCTACATCTAAAAAAAATCAGCCACTGAAAACCTATGGATCACATACTTTGACACACATGAGGTCGCTGTGATTCAGGAACAACTGGTATAAAGATATAGAGAGTAAAATGCTACAATTTGATGAACTTGATCAATACTTAGGGATGTAGTAGCTCAAAATACCAACTGACAGGGAAGGAGTCTTCACATCAAGTATTGCTGCTATCCCCTCTGTATACAGGGTTGATATGGACAGGCAACTTAGACAATGGCCTCATAAAGTGAGGGGGTGATAAAGGCACAGAGTGACTGGTTTACAAGTTTTCAAGAGGGAGTTTGGTTTAAGAGTGTGCAGGGGAAGGTAGACTCCCTACTGAATAGTTTTCATCTTGTCTAGCTAGGTTGGGTGAAAAGAGATGGGGATAAGATTCTTAGGATTCAATAATGAGTAATTGTTATCATGACTAATTGTGACTGTCACACTGTAAAGATAGAAGTTTTGTAATAAAAATGGGGAGTAGTTAATTTTACAGTACAGAAACAGAGGACCCTGGGACCATCAAGGGAGAAGAGCACAAGTGGAATGTGGGACCCTATCCAGAGAAGCAACGATACCAAAGATGGAGGCAGAGATAAGGACATGGAGACAGGAAGCAATTGGGAACTATGGACACATGGAAAGAGAGGGACTGGGTGCTGGTGGCCAGGAAGCAAGCTTGCAGAATGTGGCCTTTAGTGGTTTAAATTATTATAAATTCCTGAGTGTTTCTGTGAATATCCTCTACACCTCCCACCACCTTCCACCCCCCGCTCCCCAAAAAAAGGCAGGCAAAGGAATCAAATACTGTTGACTGATGATGCACAGAGGAGATTGTAATCACTGCATTGAAACAATGGTGTAAAGTTGATGTTCTTCCATGTAAACTATCTCTCAGTTCACAATAAAAATTTACAAAATAAATAAATAAATACAGAGAACTAAACTATTTTCAGAGTACTACTAAGTCTCATATTGCATTAGGCAAATCTGCTGCACAAGATCCTTTTAAAGTGTTGAAGAGCAAAGATGTCAGCTTGAGGACTAAGGTGCACCTGACCCAAGCCACGGTATTTTCAATAACCTCATATGCATGTGAAGCTGAACAGTGAATAAGGAAGACCATAGAAGAATTGATGCTTTTGAGTTATGGTGTTGGAGGAGAATATTGAAACTGCCATGGGCTGCCAAAAGAACCAATGATTCCGTTTGAAAGAAGTGCAGCCAGAGTGCTCCTTAGAGGCCAAGAAGGCCAAACTTCATCTCTCAAACTTTGGACATATTGTCAAGAGGGACCAGTCGCTGGAGAAGGATGTCATGTTTGGTAAGGTGGAGGGTCAGAGTAAAAGAGGAAGACCCCCAAAGATGGATTGGCCAAGTGGCAGCATTGGTGGACTCAAGAGTGGCAACAGTAGTGAGGTTGGCCCAGGATCGGGCAGTGTTTCGTTCTGCTGTGAGTTGGTACCGACTCAATGGCACTTAACAACAATAACAACAAAGTTTCATGGCATGCCAGTCTGGGAGAACCTAAAACAGCAAGACCTTTCCCAGAGCATAACATGATACATATCGGATCTTGAAAAAAGATACAACATTCCAAGACTGAATTGTTTTGCATAGTAAATGCTTTAGTATGTTGGTAGTTTCACTTAGTTCAAACAGCAAAATTTTTAGTAGATGATTACTTTTGGAAAAAAAAATCTTTCTTTATTATTTTATGAAAATTTCCATTCCTGTTATGTCAGAGGAATATAGGAAAAGGCATAGAAAGAATATTTATGATGTTTTTAAGCTCAATACAAGAAAAGTATTAAATACGTAAGTTTGTTAATGCATCTGTTGGGTCAAAAGATGGTGCTAGCCAGGGAGTGGTTCTAGTTCATTGGGACCCTCGCATTCCAGCCGTGGGCAACTCAATGATTCCTAGGGAAACCAAGTAATACTAAATCATTGCTATACACACCACCATATTAGAATAATGTCACACTGTTATATAACCTGTGGGTCATATTTGGCAAGATGATTTAGAAGGAGAAGAAAGAAAGAGATGAAGGGAAGAAAGTCTGAGAGAGCTCGAGAGGAAAGAAGGACAAGACACTCCCTGAGACCCCTTCCTGCCCCTGCCCTAATTGCTGTTTTGCTGAATAAAGGAATGAGCCAGCTCCCCGTCATACCTTGAGTGTTCTTTTGGCTACCTAACCCAGTGAACCTGTTCAAATGGGTTTCTAAGAAACCCTGACCTCCCGCTCTCCAATATAGTATCCTAACAAAGAAATAGTAAATGAAGTTTTGAAGATCTAAAAAACATCAATATTCTTCGTTATTTTGGTTCAATGTTTTGAGTAACCAAATAAATACCAGACTGAACTGAAGTCATAAACATAGTTAAAGCTTAAAAGAATACCTAAGGCAAAAAGCAGCACATTCTAACGTATTTTAAAATATGAACTTTTAAAACTTACACCTACTGTATATTCTGCCATATAAAATACACATGATTTATGAGCACAAAATAGCATGTTTAGAAAATTGTTCCTGTCTCTCAACTATATGGCTCATGATTAAATTTAATATGTTATTTAGTAATTTCAAAATGTTTCTACTGTTGTTAAGTGTCTACGAGTCCATTCTGACTCATAGTGACGCTATACAGGGTTTCTGAGGAGTGAGTGGTGAGTTTGAACCACAGACCTTGAAGTCCAAACTGACCTTGTAGTTAACACTTCTTAAGCCCATACATATTTTTTTTAAAAAAAACATCTACCTTCCTGATGAGAAGATTAACACACACAAATCTCTTTAGAATTTACCTTGAAAAATAAACTGTTCCATATTTTCTTTGAAAGGCTGGATATGCTCTTTTGAGGATACCTGGTATACTTTTCCTGCCTCAATCTCACAGGCTGAAACAAGAGAAACAGACATTGTTTAGAACAGCGTACTTTAAAATGGGGCATTAAATAAATTATTAAAAATCTGTTAGCTAGTATTAGAAAATCCTGGTAGCCATATTGACATACGCTTTATAGATAGTTTGGAAACATCCAAATACAGACATAGGAAGGCCAACATCAAGACTGAATTCGAAATGAATGTAGAACTATATTCACAGTAATCTATATTCCCAGTTCTACCACCTGTAAATAGTGTAAGATTGGGTTACTTACTTAACCTCTGAACCACAGTACCCTCATTTGTACAGCGGGTGTGATACCAGAGACGACTTCACAGTGCTATGAGGATGAAATCGGCTGTGAAGTATTAGAGTGCTGCCTGGCACTTGCTGCTGCTCAAAGACAGCTCCCTGGCCAACTAACTGGAAGAGAGCTATATTCATGCCCATTACAAAGACAGATGATCCAATAGGATGTGAAATGATCATACATTATTATCAATATCACACACAAGTTAAATATCATTGAAGATAATTTTAAAAAAATGATTGCAGCAGCACAGTGACAGGGATTTATTCATAAATTCCAGGAATTTATGAGATTCAGAAGAGGATGTGGAATGAGGGATGTCAGTGCTGGTAACACAGAAAGATGTTACCTGTGCTTTACTGCCTAATAAAGGCATTCGATGGGGAGAATTGTAACAAATTATGGGTAATATTCGAAGGATGGGAATTCCAGAAAATTATGCACCTGTAGAAACTATATATAGACCAGGAGGCAGTCATTCAAACAGAACAAGGGGATGCAGTGTGGTTTAAAACAAGGAAAGATGTGCACCAGGGTTGCAACCTTTCATCATATTTATGCAATCTGTATACTGAGTAAATAATCCAAGAAGCAGACCTTTTGTTTTTGTTTTTAAAACCTTCATGTTTCTTTCTTCTTCCTTCTCTTCCTTTCTTATCCTTTCTTCTTCCCTCCCTCCTTCTTTCCTTTATTTATTAACTTTTAATTCCTAATTGAAAGCTTACAGAGTAGTGCTTCAGGTTTACATTCGACTGATACTATATTTTGTTTCATTTCACTGATTACAATCCCCTTCATGCAATATCAGTCATCCCATTTTCTTCCTGTAAACACTTGTTTCCATTCCTTGTACTTTACTAACCTCTATGAATTTTGTGCTTAGGTAATTCTGCCTTTTGGATTTTGAATAGTTGAACATTCCATGGTGTGTATGTCTCAGTAGTATTCTTGTCCCACCTACCTATCTTGGTTGGAAATTGAATCACAAGGATGAGTACAATTCCAGACCTGAAGGATGACCAAAGGACACCAAGGTCAGGTTTTGTCTCAGGTTTCTCCAATCTATTTCTAACCAGAAAGTCCATTTTTCAAAATAATTTTACTTTTATTCCATATGTTCTTCCATTCTGTCCAGGACCTTGTAATGTGATCTTATCACAACAGTTGGGAGTGAAAGACAAGCACCATCTAGTTCTTCTGGTTTCAGTCTTGTGGAAGCCGAGGCTCACCTGTTTCATTAGTCCACTGGACTAACTGATTCTAAACATCTTCAGTTTTCACCAAACAAATTTTGTTACCTGCACATCGTACATCATTAATGAGTTTTCCTCCAATCCTAATGCCCTGTTTTCCTTCAAACACTCCAACTTCAGGCCTGGTGATTCAAGACCATACATATATAGTTTTAGGAGACACCAATTTTCATCACTCTTCTTTCCTCCATACAGGGATAGACCAATGGTTGCACCGTAGGTGGCTCCTAATGAGCTTTAAGATCCTAATTTGTACTCACTGAAGTACAATGTAGAACACTGTGTGTGTGGATAATGTTATGCCAGTTGGCCATGGAGAACCCTGAAACTATGGTCCTGAGTCTCCAGACTCAAAGTTGGACTATTTGAAGTTTGAAGAAAAAGTCATTAACAACCTGCAATATGCAGATAACGAAACCTTGCTTGGTGAAAGCAAGGAGGACTTGAAGCACTTATTGATGAAGACGAAAGACAAATGTCTTCAGTATGGAATACACATATACATAAAGAAAACCAACTGTCACAATTAACTAGTAAGCAAAATCATGAAAAATGGATTTGTCAAGGATTTCATTTTACTTGGATCCATAACCAATGCCCATGGAAGCAGGAATGAGGAAACCAAATACCATTTTGCACTGGGGAAATGTGCTTCAAACGATCCCTTTAAAGTGTTCAAAAGCAAAGAAGACTAAGGTGTGTCTGACCCAAACAATGAAATTTTTAATCACCTCATATGCACGTGAAAGTTGTACAATGAATAAGGAAGACCACAGAAGAATCGATGCATTTGAATTATGGTGCTGGTGAAGAATATTGAAAGCACCATGAACTAACTGTTAAAAGAACAAACAAATCTATCTTCAAAAAAGTACAGCCAGAAAACTACTTAGAAGTGACGATGGCAAGACTTCATCTCATGGTCTTTACAAACGTTGTCAGGAGAGAGCAATCTCTAGAGTAGGACAGGATGCTTGGTAAAGAGGAGCGTCAGCGAAAAAGAGGAATGCCCTCAATGAGATATATTAATGTAATGGCAGCAACAATGGGATTAAACATAACAACAAGTTTCCTGTGACATAACAACAGCAACAACAACATCTGATACAAAATCAAAATAAAACATTTTCAGAGCTTTTCATTATCATATGAAATCTATGCAATTTGTAGGAAATCTACTTCCAAACTGTCACAGTCATGAAACTGCTGAATAAATCCATTTTGTCCACATGAAACTGCAAGAATCAAAATTTGACAGGGACTAACAGGAAACATCAAGATATATTGATAATTGCTGGTAATTGGAGTGTGAAGGTTGGAAACAAAGAGGAAGGAGCAGCAGTTGGAAATTATGACATTGGTGATAGAAATGAAGCTGGAGATTGCATAACAAGATTTTGCAAGACCAATGACTTACTCATTGCAAAGACATTTCTTAAGCAACATAAAAGACAATTATACACATGGACCTAGCCAGATGGAATACACAAGAAGCAAACTGACTACATCTGTTGGTAAGAGATGGTGAACACCTCAATATCATCAGTGAAGACAAAGCCAGGGGCAGACAGTGAAACGGACCATCAACTGTTCAAATGTAAGTTCAGTTAGAAGCTGAAGAAAATTAAAACAAGT